TGGGGCTACGTATTGCTAGAATAAGGAGATTTGGAGATCAATCTATACCGCCGCTCACTGAAAAATGTATGCGTAATGTGTGGCAGCATTTAAATGGCCGGCAGCGGCTTGTTAAGGTTTAGTAGTTTAACTTTGATAGATTCTGGTTATTCATGTTTTTGACTTCTTTTGGAGAATATGTAATATTTAAACTATGACCATGAGGTGTTATAAATATTATAGCTCGTAAAGTATGCATTTTACTTGTGTATATTTGATGTGTTTATTTTTTTTTTTTTTATCATTGTGTAAATAACAACTTAGTCAATCCGTTATTATTATCAATATTGATGATTTTATTACAATTAGGTTTTTACATGACTCCCACTGCCCAATAAAAAAAAAAAAAAAAAAATACATAAATATTAGATAAATAATTTATAATTGACAAGCTCTTGGAAATTAAAAGTAAATACTAAAAATAAAATTTAATTGCGTTCTGTTGAGATTTAATATTAATTATTTCAACATATACAATAATTACATAATAACTAATAATGGCATAGGTAACTATGTTCTTTAAATAAATTTAAGATATTTTTTATTATATTGAGGTTATTTTTCAATAAGTTTGATATTTTCATCAATAGCCTTGATATATCCAGTTGCCTTTAATAGTGTCAATAGTTTAATCATTTTTTTGGTAATTCATTCAAGAATTTGGGGATGTTATTATTACACCAAGTTTGAGTATCGAATATTTCCATACCTAAAAACAAAAGTAAATACCTTAATTATGAATGAATTTTTTTTTTTGATTTGTAGAATGTTAAATAAGTACATTTAAAATGTATAAATTTGTTTAAAATTCGTCGCTTGTATTAATGAATAATGCACATTATATGTAAAACAACTAAATAAATAAACAAAAGTATTATGATAAAGCATTAAAAGTGGTCATTATTAATAAAAATCAACCTCATCCAATCAAATCTTTTTTTTACTATAAATTACTACAAGCATGTATATTAAGGGCTAAGAGCGTATAGGATTCAATTTGAGATAAATTAAATCTCAAAATATAGCTTTTCAATTACAATAAATTTTTAAAAATATTATTTTTTTGTAAATGTATAATAATTTTAGGAATCTCTTAAGTCAATTTTAACTTTGTTTTGATTTTAAATCTTCTAGTTGTGAATAAAAAATTATCCTTTTAAACATTTTTGTTCATCGTGCACCAATTGTTAATTCATACACTAGAATAAAAGTAATTTTAGATTTAGTATATAATAATATAAAAAACTGATAATTTGTTGAGGTTTATCATTCAATTAAAATCTAGCAGAGAATCTGTTTCAGTAATATTAGTCAATTCCTAGCCACATTTAGAAAGGAGTCTTTCAGATCGTTTTTTTCTAGTGGTATTGACAATTACAACTTTTTTATATTAAACCCACAATCATTTTACTTCAAGGCTTCAAGTCAATGCATCAGGAAATTGTGTACAGTTCGTGTAGAAACATCTGTATTATGTCGCATTTTTGATCTGACGTGTGATTTTCACATCTCGCCGGAATAGCGACCAACCAATTGCAGCCATTTACGTATACACCCAAACTCCTCGTCATTATGGTACAAAAGAATAGTTGTTTAAGTCTTCGATCATAAAGTTTGACTACATGAAAAAACGTTAAACACACCGGGCGCATTGCAATATGTTTTAGATACAGTTAAATCATATAAAATACAATTACTAACCTTACAAGAAGTCAGAAGGACTAATAAAGGAAGTTTAACCTAATGTCACGGTATAATCGCATTATCATCACTATATTTTTATTAATGTGTTTTTTTTGTAATTATTGTACTTATTGTAAATGTTTGTCATATTTATTGTAACGATTATATTTCCTACTGTGATTTTTTTTGTATACACTGCGCTCCACTCCTCATCGGCACGATTTGCCAATGGTATACATGACGCAACGGGCCGAAACGGTCTCGTCCATTCGAGTTTTTAATATATAACCTTTGTGAGCTTATTTTCGATAGATTACAATGTTTGAGATTAGGTATCAACACAGCACACGCACAGTATTGCTATTTTATAATTTAACTAATTACTACTAAAAAAAT